TTTGATACAGCCTGGCTGGGGCATCTGTTTCCTGTCAGATTCGTGCCCCTTGGCTTGTTGCTCGTTGTTCGTTGTGGATTGAGACAAATGGCAGCTGTCCTGATACGCTCTAAAGGGTAATTGGGAGAAACCTAATCACTGGCAGGCAGAATGTGCTTGCAGCTGCTGATGTGCCATTAGTGAAGCCATCAGTAATGCAGTTTTTCCTTTGACTTGATTAAATTATGCTCATGGATTTAGGTTTGTGTTCCGTAGGTAGAGGCAGATACCCATTTTTATGTGTTCAACACGAGTTCTGTGTGTGATGCCCATTCTTTGGCTTGTGCTGTTGTGGAAAGCCTGCTGAAAGAGGTGGTTTGGGAAGGGGCAGAGAGGGGAAGTCTTGAAGGTTGAGTAGTTCACTCATCCCTCTCTCATCAAATAACCTGCTTAAACCTTCCTGAAATGCAGCACAGGGACCTACCTGGCTCCAGAGTCCCAGCTTAGACCTTCCCAGGTGAAGTTGTGTTTCAGGGTCAATAATTCCTGCTTTTTTCCCCTTTTCCTGGCCCTGGTATGACCTGCTGGTATGACTGTGAATTCGAAGACGTGGGTTAAAAATAACATTATGGCAAAGCTCATGGAATGTATTTTCCCCTGAGAAGTGCTCTAATCCCATATTTAGTCTCAGCTTTGCAGGGCTGTGCTGGAAGGTTCACGGGCACTGGGACATGTTCACATCAGCATATGTGCACGAGGGCTTCTGTTTGCAAGACAGTGGAAAAACCAGGAGCTGCTCTAGTAAAACAAATGGGTTATTATCCTAATAACTAACCTTGTATTTACTGAGGATTCTCTGCTCTCCAGATCCTGACCAAGGACTCGGTGACGGTGAACGTGGACGGGGTGGTTTATTACCGGGTCCAGAACGCCACCCTGGCCGTGGCAAACATCACCAACGCCGACTCTGCCACCCGCCTGCTGGCACAGACCACCCTGAGGAACGTCCTGGGCACCAAGAACCTGTCTGAGATCCTCTCTGACCGGGAGGAGATCGCACACAGCATGCATGTACGAGCTTTGGGGCTCCATCACGTCCAGGGATAACCTGCAGGAGCGGATTTATTGCACCTTCTAAGTGCTAGGCCAAGCTGTGGTTTGGAGCTTTAGGCAAAGCCCTGCTCAAGATCTCTTGGGATGGCACTCCCTAAAATAAAAATGGGGGACTAAAGCAGTAATGGACCAGTGGGAATGAGGGATCCAGGAGAGGAGGCCTTCCCTGCATCATTGTGTCAGTTCTTGCTGTTGAAGGAAATTATACCACAGAATTCCTTCAATACATTAATCAAACTCTGGGGGTTTTTGTTAGCTTACAACAGTTATGCTCTTATAATTATCACATCGTAATACAAGTACCAAAGCCCTTAAAGTCCAGGAATTCTAAGATAACTCATTTGGTTTAATTGCTCACTCCTCATATCTGGGCATTAGTTGGGGCCGGGTGTGTGGCTTAACTTCCCTGTCCTTCCTTCTGCAGGCCACGCTCGACGAGGCCACGGATGACTGGGGCATCAAGGTGGAGCGTGTGGAGATCAAGGACGTGAAGCTGCCTGTGCAGCTGCAGAGGGCCATGGCTGCAGAGGCAGAGGCTGCCCGGGAGGCCAGAGCCAAGGTAAGGGCACCCGCAGGGAGGAGGGCTTGGCTGGGTAATTCCTTTGTGAATGGTTCCACGTGCTGGTGTGCAAGGTGAAGGTTCCCTAGCCAGATTGTGTTAAATATTAATTTTGCTGCTTAATTACTTCATAACTTCTTAATTATTAGTTTTTCTGATGCTTAAAAGAATATCGTGCCCTTGCAGGAGGACTCTGTAGGAGACTTTGCACTTGCCTGTGCTGACACACAGGAATTGCCTCACCAGTAACTTCCCTGTTACAACAGTGCCATCTCCAACCCAGCTGTCCTTGACAAATAGTCAGAAAATATTTATAGCCCCAATGCAGAAAGGCCACAATTCTGTCCCTAATGAACCCAGAGCTTAAAAAAAGGAACAGCAGGGAGGGGCACTGAGGGTGCTGGGCTGAGGGCACGCTGCCTGTCTCCCTCTCCCCGTGCAGGTGATCGCGGCCGAGGGGGAGATGAACGCGTCCCGCGCGCTCAAGGAGGCCTCCATGGTCATCACCGAGTCCCCCGCGGCGCTGCAGCTGCGCTACCTGCAGACCCTGACCACCATCGCCGCCGAGAAGAACTCCACCATCGTCTTCCCCCTGCCCATCAACATCCTGCAGGGCCTGCTCCGCATGAAGGAGTAGGCAGGGGCAGGGCCGGGCTCAGCCCCCCTGCAGCTCTGCAGTCCTGGGTAGTGTAGCTCGCGGTTCTGAGGAACCCCCTGTTTTACTGTGTGTTATAAAACTTGTGTGTAGTGTTTGTGGGACGGACAGTCGCAATTATTTGGAGTTGAAAGCCTCTCAGGAGGAGTGCAAGCAGGTTGTGATCTTAAATAAGCTTTATCCATGCTGTCCTGGATGGGGCACCTCTAACCCAAAACCTCCCCTTTTCAACTAGTGCAGAAAAGCTGTCGTAGAGATGATCCAGCATTTGGAAAGAGAATTATTCCCTGCAGGAGCAGTGGAAGAGCCCTGACTGTATTCTCCTGGAGTGTAGCTGTATGTGATGGAGTCAGCAGGTTGGTTCTCTGCCTCACACAAGGAAAAGTAATGGAAGTTGATGCCCGAGTGAGAATACTGTCCTGGGACTTGTGAAAATCAGGCTCCTGCTCTCTAATCCAGTCCCCATTCATGAGAAACAGTTGTTGGTGGAACTTTCCATCTGTTGTGCCCCCAGGACCGGCACACACATGCTGTGGTTATGGATACAACGTGCTTGTGGTCACTGCTGGGCTGGTGTTCTTCCAGGGCTGTGTCTGTGTACAGTTACGCTGCTTTGACGCACTGAAAAGGCTCTGCCTTTACCTGTTCCTCTTACAGATAATTTTTAAAAACCAAAGTGCTGTGTTTTATCCAGGTCTAAAGCCTTCTTTCTGTAGAAGTCAGCTGTCTGTCCCCAGTGGGGTGGGGTGGTGTTTCACAAAGATGCTGCACTGTTGGAGCACGGGGGTGCTTTCCCTGCTGGTGCTGCCCTGTGCACGCCTGGAGGGGTGGTTGTGTCACTGAGGGCTTACACTTCATCCCAAAGCAGGTGAGCCTCGGCTCACACAACCCTGGCTTGGCTGTTAAACTTGGTGTTTTGTACCTCTTTAGTAGATTTAATTACAGATTGAAATGAGGGGAGTTAGAGCCTGCAGGGGGAGGAGGCTCCTCAGGCTGCCACCAGCACAGAGTCTTACACCTTGAACTTTTGGGAGGTGGCAATGAAACTAAAGAGCCAAGATCAGTGCTGCAAGTGCCCTTCTCACCCTGGGCAGCATAAACCTCACAGCCTGGGTTTCATCCCCTTTCTGCTGCGCTCAGTTCTGCGTTTACAGGTGTTTTAGCACAGGCAAGGCCTGTTCAGCTGTGCCTTTGTCCCTGTCAGCAGTGCCTGAGTGCTGGTGCTTTTCTGCCTGTTTGCTGGAAAGCTTTTCCTTTTCCTCACCAAAGCAATGCCCTCCTGTGTTTGTCAGTGCAGCAGTTCCTGTAAGCTGAGCTTAACTCTTGGTGGGGAGGGGGGAGAATCAGTTAACAAAGCTGGGCTAATGAGCAGTGCTGAGCTCACCGGGTGGGTCCTTGGGGAACACGATGACTCTGTAACTCCCGCTGTTGCTGCTGCAGGTGCCACCCCTGTGAATTGTTGTTGACACCACGAGATGCTTTTTGCTCTCCTCTGAATAAAAGACATGCTGTTTACTAAGGAGTGACTGTAAGAGTTGAACACTGCTAATTTATCGGGGTCTTAACTGCTGGTAATTCTGCTGAGGGGAAAGCAAAACAGTCCCAAAATAATTTCTTTGGTCAGAAGTCCACGTGCAACAGATGGCACACAGAAGGTTTTGGGTTCTAAGGTGAGTTCCTATCGAGGAAGGTCAAAGGTGGGATTTATTGGTGCTGTTTAATGTTTCCCTCTTCATAACAAACCCCACCATTTCTGTTCTTCTCATTATCTCACACAAGCTTTATTGTATTAAATATAATCAAAGCAAGGAGGAGGGTCACTGACTGGTGGTGGTTGTTTCCGGAAGTTATTGCACAGCTAATTGGCTATTTACCATCATTCCCTCGTTAATGTGCATCCTGGAGGAAGGAGCTCTCGGAGGCATTGAAGGCACTGGACTCGCTGTGTGTCAGAGCTGTTGTCACACATCCACGTCTGCCATCGCTCTCTGCAGGGGATCCACAGCCCAGTAGTCGTCGTCCCAGCCCAGGAACCAGCCGGAGAACGTGGGGGGCTCGAAGCCCTGCTTGACGATGGTCACGGGCGTCCTCTTGTCGCGGTTGGACGGGTCGGTGTCGATGTAGCGCTTGGCTGAGGGGGAGGAGGGGTCTCACTGAGTGCAGGTCGTGCAGGAACAGCAAGATGGGGGCTAAACGGGGGCTCCACTTCACCAACCACCCACCAGAACGGTCACCCTGTGGCTTTTAGAACCGCCTGCCTCGTGAGCAGAGAGGGAGAGGGAGGGGGGGGACAGTTCAGAGGGGCAAACGTGACATTACCAGATTTCAGTGCCTCGGTCTTCTCCTCTTCTTGGGCATCTTGCCCAATCCATACAAAGACCTACAGAAAAAACATGCATGTTAATTATTTCAGCAACAATCAATCTCTTTCTGAAGGGGTGATTTAGGCAAAGTCTCAGTGAACAGAGGGTGACACAGAACCAGAACATCCCCGTGTCGGCTGGGCCGGGGGTGTCGACCCTGCCTGACCAAAGCCATCGCTTGATCTCAAGAAGCTTGAGATCTGCATCTTATCTACAGAAACTGCACATCCATGAATGAATTCTATTCTAGTTTAACACCAGGGGGAAGCAGCAGATGTTTGAACGATATTACATAAAACACTGGAGCTCAGTAAGTTGCCTCGAGGCTGATTTGTGCACAGTCTGTAATACAACAGCACTTGTGGCTGTTGTAATTGGAGTCTCGATCTAGAGCCTGTCCTTTGCTCCTCTTGTCACCCTGCAAACGTGACGTACCTGATCCCACGTGTCCAGGAGCATCACATCATCCGTAGCCAGGTCGTCCTGAGTCAGATCTCCAGGCACTTCTTCAATCTGGAAGACAGAGGGTTAAGGTGAGCACAGGCTTCAAGCGCCTGTACAGGAGAAAGGCCACACAGGAAGAGCAGAGGTGACCCTCTGAGGGGGTGGGGGGCTCAGAGCAGCTGGCACTGAGGCTCTCCCAGCCTTGGCAGGAGAGGCTGAAGTCACTGGTGTCAGATACCCACCGTGAAGCGGCCGCTCTTGTTGGAGCAGGCGAAGAGCCGAGGGGGGTGGGCGTCCATCTTCTTGTCCTTGAGGCGGGGGGAGGTGCGGTACGGGGCCTTCCCCCCCAGCGCTGCCCAGAAAGCGTCTGCAAAGGAGACACTGCTGCCTCACCTGGTCATGGGAACCACAGCAGGGGGGGCTTTGACCCTGTGAGCCCCTCACCTGGCTCTCTGCCCTCAGACACCTGCACTGGGCGAGCTCCCAGGACCTTCAGCAGCTCCTGCGCTCCCGATTTCTCAGCGTTGCTGGCTCCTTGGCCCACCCAAAGGTAGGCAGCAGAGGGAGTCTTCAGGACAAAGGCATCGTTGGAGTTCAGCTGACTGGCAGTAGGATCCAGCTGAAAAGCAGGAACATTGCAGGTGCCAGATTAGGTCAAACTGAAACCAGAACCTGTTGTTGAATAAACTGCAAACAAGACACTCCCTGGGAGCGTGTGAGGCTGTAAAAGATGTGTTGAGTGTTCCCCGTATCCACGTGATGAGTTGGACTTGCCACGTGGGAAGAGTAAATAACTGTTTCTGTGTGATCTACAGGTGCACAAGACATGGCTCTGTCACTTTGCCAGTCTTGGCTATGGCAGGAGATGTAGGAACTCCCTGGGGAGCCCCTGGCAGGGCAGTTCCCTGCTGGGACACTGATCAGTCATTAACACCTTCTCCTCTGTGCCAACAAGGACAGGCCATCTTGCAGCTGGAAACCTGGGCAGTTACTGGAGTCACAAACCAGCACCCTCCCCTCCCCTGTGCCTGTTTACTGGGATTTAATCTCTGTGTTGCTGCACAGGGGTTTTGTGTGCACTTCCTTTCAGAGGAGTGGGAGTCTGAACCCGTGTCCTGGCACCAGTTCCACTTCCACAGAGGGAATTCAGCTCTTCCTGCCTTCAGCATTGTTGTCACACAATGGGCTCAGCACAAGTCAGACAGCCCAGCCCTGTTCCCTGGGCTCACATTCCCATCAGGTGCATGAGCTCCACGTACCTCCACTGCCCTGGTGGCTCCGGAGGTGCTGGAGCGGACCTGGAAGAGCCGCGTGTCTGCAGGTGCTGTCTGCCCTCCTTCCCTCGAGGTTCCCCCCTTGTAAACAATCAGGGGCTTTCCCCCAAACATGCTCATCAGGTGAGGCGGCTCCTTCCCTTGCACCACTCGTTTCTGCAGAGAAACAAACGTCCCGTCAGTTCTGAGCAGCACGAGAGGCACTAGAAACGGCCTTTGCAGCTGGAATATCCACACAGCACCCAGCTGGGGGCAGGACTGTGATATGTGCATTATTTATTCCCACAGAGTTGGGGTTTGGTTTCTGCTGGGTGGTGTTTGTTCCTTTACCTGCACAGGGCTGCCTCCCAGCTCCTCATCCAGCTGCACCGTGAGGAAGGCAGAGGTTGCAATCTCATCCTGAGTGGAGTCAGCTCCCTGCCTGGGAGACAAGGCCAAATTCCAGCTTTATTTTCAGCCCCTCCACACACACACACTGTGTGTGATCTCTTACAGAGATCCAGAGGAGGTAAGGGAAACCTGTGTCACCAAACCTCTGCAGCACTTTGTTCAGCAGGAAGGAGATGCTCGTTATCCTGTGCTGCAGCACAGGGATTACAGGGGGAGACACAAGACCCTTTGCTAGGGAAGCAGCACAGACTCTGCAGGATCTCCAGGCCAGTCTCCCATTCCAGTTTAAGCACACAGCTGTTGGCACTGGGATCAGGAATTACATGAGCAGCCCCTGTGCAGGCTGTGCCCTCCTGGGTTCCCTCAGGGGTTCTGCCTGTGCCCTCTTCGTGCTGAGGAGCAGCAAAACCATCCCCCTGGGAGCCTGACTGGAAAACTCCTCCATAAGGACACGGGCTGGGAACTGTCCCAGTCACAATGGCAGAGTATCAAAAGTTCCTGACAGGGATCTCAAAGGTGTAGGAACTGCAAAAAGCAGCAGAGCTTGATCCAGAGACGGGAGTAACT